GCAAAAAAGGTAAAAAACAAGTTTTTCAAAGCACACACTTTTATTTGCATTATAAATTAGAAAATAATAAAATTAGATGTACTGAATAAAAGTGGATGGCTTCCTTTCGATATGTTTAATTTTCTTTATGCAAACCACCTACTTTTATTCAGCACATGAAATCTGATATATTTTTGGGGTGAAAATTTTGTATTTTCTACTTTAGAGTGCAAATCAAAGTGTGTACATTTTAAACTAGTTTTTTACCTATTTTTTTTGTTATTTTTATTGTCACCGTGAGACTGTCTTCCTTGAAACCCAAATCCACTCGTAAAGAGGATGGGCACAAGGTGTTCAGTGGTTGATGCACCCCCGTACTGTTAACCATATTTTCGTATACGGGGTTGAAAACATCCGTTAGCTATTTTAGTAAAAGTGAGTTGGGAGAAAGGAGAGGGGCCCACAGTCGTATCTCACATAGCCCCCCTCTAACCCACCCCCCAGTTGAAATATGGAGCTGTGCCCTGGGCACGGGGGGCAGCAGAGCTGGTGTGTGGGGGGGAGGAGGAGAATCAACTTGGGGTGGTGCCAAAGGGACATTTGGTGGTGCAGGGCACTGAGTCCCCAGCTGCTTCCTTGCGCTGCCCTGCCGCTAACACTCGCCGATTTGGTCTCGTCATCGAACAAAGATGGTCGTCGCATCATCGTGCGCTTTTGGATCTGCTTCTGCGTCCGTCTGGAACGCTCTTCCTTCCGATATTAGGAAGCCACTGGGAGCTATGCACTTTTAAATCATCTAGATTTAAAACTCATTTCTTTAAAACTGCCTTTTGATTCCAAAGAACACAAGATGAGATGTTACTATCCTTTGTGCAAGCACTTCCAAGAGTTCATGAACAGTGAGCCTGGTGAAATTTGGGGAGCGCATCGTCAGTAGTGACCCTTTGGTTCCTAGGGTGTTTCGGCCTTTCATACTATACACCCTCCCCAAAGGCGGCCAGCGACAGGGTGATCAATCCTACGCTTGCGTCCCATTCCCAATTAGTCATAGGAGTTGCCTTGTTGTTGGTAGCCAACATCCCATGGGACTATGCATGGCAGGGGCGTCCTCCTCCCTGAGTCAAGCATTGTAGACTGCATACCCCTGGCCCTCTCACTTTGAGGCCCAGCTGGGGTCTTTCCTCTTCATCCAGAGCCACTGACTGCTGCCTTCTGCCGCCTCCGATACAGCTTTGATTGCCGAACGCTGGCTCTGGCCCTTAATTCCCAGGTCTCTAAGCAGTCTGGTTGTAGATGTTGCCACAAAACCTCTGCAGCCCACCTCCACTGGTCGGACTTCTGTGTTCCAGCCATGATGCCGTGCTTCGGCAGCTAGATCGGCATAGCGCAGATGTTTTCGCTCATAAGCCTCATCTACTGAGTCCTCCCAGGGTACTGTGAGCTCAATGATGAAGACCTTCTTGAGCGAACGGGACCAGAGCACCACGTCAGGTCTTAGGGTGGTGGTTGCGATCCCCGGAGGAAACACAAGTTGCTGGCCAATGTCAGCTAGCATTTTCCAGTCGCGGGCCAAGCGCAGCTGGTCTCGCTCTATTGGTGTAGAGCCGCTCTTCGGTGGTTTAGCCCCTTCGCGGACAAAGGTCGTCCGTAAGGGGTGTGATGCTGCTGGGGGTGGTAGGGAGTTGGTGGCAGCTCGCTTGTCCTCCAGGGCGGACGCAAGGTTTTTAAGGACTTGGTTGTGACGCCAAGTGTAGCGTCCTTGGGTGAGGCTTGTTTTACACCCTGTGAGAATGTGCCTGAGGTTGGCTGGCATGGAACAGAGGGCACAGTCCGGATCTTCACCATACCATTGGTGAAGATTAACTGGTGTTGGAAGGATGTCATATGTTGCTCTGATGGAGCTGTGCCCTGGGCACGGGGGGCAGCAGAGCTGGTGTGTGGGGGGGGAGGAAGAGGAGAATCAACTTGGGGTGGTGCCAAAGGGACATTTGGTGGTGCAGGGCACTGAGTCCCCAGCTGCTTCCTTGCGCTGCCCTGCCGCTAACACTCGCCGATTTGGTCTCGTCATCGAACAAAGATGGTCGTCGCATCATCGTGCGCTTTTGGATCTGCTTCTGCGTCCGTCTGGAACGCTCTTCCTTCCGATATTAGGAAGCCACTGGGAGCTATGCACTTTTAAATCATCTAGATTTAAAACTCATTTCTTTAAAACTGCCTTTTGATTCCAAAGAACACAGGATGAGATGTTACTATCCTTTGTGCAAGCACTTCCAAGAGTTCATGAACAGTGAGCCTGGTGAAATTTGGGGAGCGCATCGTCAGTAGTGACCCTTTGGTTCCTAGGGTGTTTCGGCCTTTCATACTATACACCCTCCCCAAAGGCGGCCAGCGACAGGGTGATCAATCCTACGCTTGCGTCCCATTCCCAATTAGTCATAGGAGTTGCCTTGTTGTTGGTAGCCAACATCCCATGGGACTATGCATGGCAGGGGCGTCCTCCTCCCTGAGTCAAGCATTGTTGACTGCATACCTCCTGGCCCTCTCACTTTGGGGCCCAGCTGGGGTCTTTCCTCTTCATCCAGAGCCACTGACTGCTGCCTTCTGCCGCCTCCGATACAGCTTTGATTGCCGAACGCTGGCTCTGGCCCTTAATTCCCAGGTCTCTAAGCAGTCTGGTTGTAGATGTTGCCACAAAACCTCTGCAGCCCACCTCCACTGGTCGGACTTCTGTGTTCCAGCCATGATGCCGTGCTTCGGCAGCTAGATCGGCATAGCGCAGATGTTTTCGCTCATAAGCCTCATCTACTGAGTCCTCCCAGGGTACTGTGAGCTCAATGATGAAGACCTTCTTGAGCGAACGGGACCAGAGCACCACGTCAGGTCTTAGGGTGGTGGTTGCGATCCCCGGAGGAAACACAAGTTGCCGGCCAATGTCGGCTAGCATTTTCCAGTCGCGGGCCAAGCGCAGCTGGTCTCGCTCTATTGGTGTAGAGCCGCTCTTCGGTGGTTTAGCCCCTTCGCGGACAAAGGTCGTCCGTAAGGGGTGTGATGCTGCTGGGGGTGGTAGGGAGTTGGTGGCAGCTCGCTTGTCCTCCAGGGCGGACGCAAGGTTTTTAAGGACTTGGTTGTGACGCCAAGTGTAGCGTCCTTGGGTGAGGCTTGTTTTACACCCTGTGAGAATGTGCCTGAGGTTGGCTGGCATGGAACAGAGGGCACAGTCCGGATCTTCACCATACCATTGGTGAAGATTAACTGGTGTTGGAAGGATGTCATATGTTGCTCTGATGGAGCTGTGCCCTGGGCACGGGGGGCAGCAGAGCTGGTGTGTGGGGGGGGAGGAGGAGGAGAATCAACTTGGGGTGGTGCCAAAGGGACATTTGGTGGTGCAGGGCACTGAGTCCCCAGCTGCTTCCTTGCGCTGCCCTGCCGCTAACACTCGACGATTTGGTCTCGTCATCGAACAAAGATGGTCGTCGCATCATCGTGCGCTTTTGGATCTGCTTCTGCGTCCGTCTGGAACGCTCTTCCTTCCGATATTAGGAAGCCACTGGGAGCTACGCACTTTTAAATCATCTAGATTTAAAACTCATTTCTTTAAAACTGCCTTTTGTGTTTAATTTGTTGTCTTTCCCCCCACACCTCCGATTAGTGTGGTTGGCTACCTACGTTGCAAAAGAAGTCCAACATACATGCACACATGTGTAGAGACAGTGCGGAGAGATAGCGGGACAGTCTGGTTCCCCAGGACCATGGTTACTAATGGGCGTGCTAATGATGATTGATGGGACGAGCGTTGACAGGGTCACGTAAGGGGGAGCACGGGATCCAATGGCGAGAAAGTGTAATTAGGGCGGCGAGGAGAATTCGGGAATGAGGGCATGGCCGGACCGAGCGAGGATTTACAACCACCGCGAGCCGGAGCTGTGGGCTGTTTGGTGTGGCAAACCGTCGTCGTCGTCGCCTTGGATCGGGTCGTCTCCATCGTCTGCGAGTTGTCATGAGACTAGAAGCTACGTTGTCTCTGAGTAGAGTTGTCTCACTACCCAAGTGTACAGTCACTCGCGGTTACTTGCTGAGTTGTCAGTGGACTTTATTCATAATACATATACAGAAGACAAGACAGTGTCTCTTGAGAGCTACATTGCACATGCACATACATCCAGGCAGTCGTCTGTGATCACCCTGAGTTCTTAAGTGACCAGAGTCGATGGTATTAGCCCGAGGGTTAACGAACGTGACAGCGGTTTTAACTGCAGTGTCACAATCTCACAGTGTGGGGGGGGGACAGTCCCCGGAACTTCGATTAGCACGGTTGGCTACGTACGGTGCAAAAGAAGTTCAACATGCATGCATACATACCGTGCGTGCCCTGGTATGTAGATGATAAAACGGCCGCTCTCTCAGGGTTTATCCCACGTTCATCCGCGGCCGTTCTCTGAAACCCAACCGCACTGCGCCCGGTGCGCCGTGAGGTTTGGGAATTGATTCTTCGGCCTCGCGGCACGGACAGCCCAGTAGAGAAGCACTCAAAAAACCGTGAGCAGGGTAATGCGAATCAGCAAAAGAAATCCGGTCGGTTTGAAAAGAACAAGTTCCTTGATAGCGAGGAGCTAATGTTCTACAATAATGGCTAAAAATAGCTCGTATGTCTGTATTTGTGTACATATGTATGTATGGGGAGGGGTAATGTAGCGTTTAGCATGCTGTACTACAAACCCGGCGACCCAAGTTCGATTCCCACTCATGGCCAACACCAGTGACAATTATTTGAACTGGTTCTGGGTCTCCCCTAAAACGACTCTGCCTCAAATGAGTACCTGGTGGATTGTCAAAACATTGCCACCTGGGAGACAAAAGCAGTCAGGCATGGCACTGGCCACCTACCGATCTCGTGTTCCATGCCGCCCTTCATAGGCGCTCACTAGTAGCACTCGCCCCGACAGTCTGTTCATGCTAGCCGGGATCTCTGCATTTTTGTATGCACATACGCATGAACATTAATATGTGTGTGTCTCCCACAGTGTGAATGCAGTAAATGGGTCAGAAAGCCCGAACCGCCGGCCGGGATGTCTGGGCAATTCGGTGACGGTGTACAACGGCGATGGGGTGCACACACCCATACTGGACGTGCTGTGCAGGAACACACAATCCAGCCAAATTTTGAAATCCCAGGGAAACATGCTGATCCACTTCAAGTCAGAGCTACAAAACCCCACTGGCGCATTCAACTTGAACTTCAGGCAGATCCGTACAGGTTCGTGCACCTCTTTCCCATCACAATTAGCCAGCCGTATGTGCTCATACGTGATACACAACGGCAGCAATTGTAGCTGTTACGTTAGGCGCGGTACGTTACAAATCAAAAGCAATAAAGTTCGTGGTACTTTCCACTGAAGTCACCATTGAGGCATCGGTGCTCATCCCCTGTTCACAGCCCTGAGCCAGTGGCGGAAGTTCAACAATGCTATGAGGTGGTCCTTAGTACACAAGCATAATAGTAATAATAATAGATCACTACGTGGCCTCGCCCAAATGCATCGTGATGAAGGCTGTAAAATGTACGACACCTCAACTATGCCACCCATTGCTCACAACCAAGTTTTGTAATGCATGCCCTGTGAATGCACTCTCCCCGCAGTCTCGTGTGGCAGAACATTCAATGGAACGGACGGTTCATTCTCCACCAACTCGTCGACCCTCGACCCCTGCTACTGGCTGATTGAGACCAGCCTCGACAAAGTTGTCTCTCTGAGTGGCAATTTTTGTGGGTAAATTCTGCAACAACAAAAAACTATAAAAGATTTATTATTTTACCAGGTAAGGCCCCAATGAACTGCGTAGCTCTTTTTCAGAAGCGACCTGGCCACAAATGATAGCTCAACGAAGTGGCTTATCACGTGGAAATTTATAGCAACCAAATACTGTAAATGCATGTTGATTCTAAATCTGGAGGGATAAACCGAGGACCCGGAGAAGAATCTACACGACCATGGGGAGAACATGCAAAATCTAAATATACAGGCATCATCAGGGTCAGGATCGAACCCACAACCTCTCCTGGTAATCAGGCAAGGAAGTTAACATCTCGCTACCGTGGCACTCAAACAATTGGCTGTGGGACCGGCACGATTGATTGTGTCGGGATTTGGCAGGGAACGTCACTGAAGGGCACCAAGTGGGACTGTGTAATGGTTGAGCTCCAATTCATTTGCAGCCTAAACCCCCAAAAAACACACGAAAAAAATCGTAATCTTAATTTCGACTGGAAGAATCCAATGAGCTATGAAGCTCTTTGTTTTTACTTTACAGACTATGATTCAGGGTAGCGTGCCGTGACCAGTCGGTGACACCACCTGGGGATTTCCATTTATTTATTTGTTTCCTTTTTTTACAAAAGCCCAAACTCGCTCACGGCCGCATTCCCACGCGGACCCCAGAACCCACCCCATGGGCACCGTGTGCGGGGGGGGGGAGCGCTCACAGCGCTCACAAGGCTCACAGGGCTCACAGCTTCCCCCCCCCCCCCCCCCCCGGTACGGTGGTGGCGCGTGGTTACCTTACAGGGCAATCTCCTGCAGCACACGCTATAACGCCATACCCACCATCGGAGTCGCCATGACCACGGTGTGCCCGAGATATGCGCTGGAACATCCCCGCTGAAGGGGTTTACTCCTCCACAGAGTCTTGCACATTTACCATCGGAAGGCGAACTGAGCGAAGATTTACATTCAGTTTGCTCGCACCGATCGGGGGCTCTCCCAGCTGTGCCTCTCCTGCATAAATCATAAGATTGCACTCATTACACACAAAGTTCTGGCCACAAATTAACCACAATACCATGCTGATCTCGTCAACGAGCATAAACCATTACACGAACTCCAGTCATCCCCGCGGCGGGCAAAGCTGGGGCGCGAGTCATCGAACAAGGACGGTCGCTGCATCACGCGGCGCTTTCGGATGTGCTTCTGCGGCCGTCTGGAGCGCTCTTCCGATATTAGGAAGCCACTGGAGCTGTGCACTTTTAAATTTAGATTGGAAACTAATTTCTTTAAACCTGCTTTTTGTGTGTAGTTTGTTATCCTTCCCCCGCACCTCCGATTAGCGCGATTTTTTTTTATGAATCCCCTTAAATAAATCTAAAAATAATCCATTTACGTGAAAATTATCAATACAAATATGGTTATAATGAACAAAGTAAATAAATAGTAAAGTATTAAACAATAGTTTATAAATTATGATGATGATGCACATCACTTTATCTCATAATTTTCTCTCTCCCTCAACAGAGTCCGCATAGAGATCCAGATGCGTTTCGCGGGTAGCCACAATCACAGACAGCGAATCGGCAAATGACGTGGGAAGACTTCAGTATGCGTACCGTAACCCTGGGATCGATTGACCGGGTCTCATCCTCCGCCAGGTCTTACGAGATCCACGACGGGCAGTCCATCGCAGCGCCACTGCTGGGCAGCCATGGCGCCGGCTCCAACTGCGACTCCGTAAGCGCCCTCGCTTCCGGACCCGCGGTGGTGCTCGTCACCTACGACCGATTCCAGGTCACCTACCAAGCAGCAGGTTCGTTCGTTTTTTTTTTCGTCCAAGCAATAAATATATTCCTCTGCTCTTCCACACACGTGATGGTGTCGAATCATTGTTAGTTTTCTTTTAGGGGGAAGGGGGGCGGGGGGGGGGGTGTTCGATGTAAAAAAAAAATTATCTCTATAAAATATTTTATTCCACATCCTCACATCTTACATTGCAATATTCTGACATCCTGGGTGGTAGTGCCAGGGGCATCTATGGTATCAGGCGCACTGGACTCATCACAGCAGGCGGAGGGGGGGCGGTTCAGATTATCTTTGGGGGTGGGGGGGGGGTCATTGCTGTTCTGGGTTCAGGGGTTTAAAATTGGTCTAAGGTTCAGGTGTTTAAGACTGGATTTAGGAATGGACCGCATGTTCCCATCTACTTTTTCTTCCTTGCATCTGAACATATAGCTCAGCTTCTCCAGTGCTGATATTGGGCCTAATGAATTCAGTCATTGAGTATGGCGGGGGGGGGGGGGGGCGTTGTGATTCTTCCACGTGCTCTGTATGGCTTTCCTGGCCGCTAAATTGAAAGTCCTTAACAAAACTTTCCGTTCCCACGTCAGCCCCGACAGGGCCATTCAAGTCAAGTTGTCACGACATGAGTATTGAAAGCAAGCTAAATGTTGAACATGCGTGCACTTTGTTCCCAGAGAAGCGCACGTCCTTAGACTGTGACTTTGAGCAAGGCTTCTGTGGATGGACACCGGTGGATGAAGATCAGTTCCACTGGGGGATCTACAAGCACCGACAATCCACGAATCCCTACGGCGACCTCTACCCATCCAGTGAGCATCTTGGTTTCCCCTTGCCGTAGAGAACTCGTGCCTTGTGATTTGTAACGGTCATCCCTGGCACGCTGCGCGTGGCACGCTGCGCGCGGCAAGCTGCGTGTGGTAGGAAGTGTGTGGCTGCGTGTGGTAGGAAGTGTGTGGCTGCATGTGTAGGAGCCCTTCATGCCTCTTACACAGGCAGCAGAGCATGAGCGATTTCCCGGCATGGCGCCCAAGCATGTTCCGTCATGAAGAAAGTGTGCGAATTCTGCCGCGCGATGCTTATCCGGTGACATGGCCCAGCGGTGTCATGGTCGCCCTTTGCCGCAGAGGTTCACGGTTTGAATTGAGCAGGCCACCTAGTTTGCACTGTGGCCATGTGTTTTGATAAAATATGCGCTGTCTGCTTCCCTGTGGAGGTTAAAGGTCACATCGTGTCATTTGAAAAAGTAGGCCATTGTGCGTATGTTTGTATATATGTGTATGATTAAATCTTTCGCACCGTACGTAGCCAACCATGCTAATTGGAGGTGCGCCATGGGTCCAGATTTCGCCAAATTCGGAAAAAAAATCAAACCTGCAAATTATTTGAAACGGAATACACGTAGCAATCATCTCCCCCTACTCACACATTTTTGCCCACTTGCAGGCCAATGCTGAGTCATCTTGTGTCGAACAGGGACAGGTGCCACCAGATTTCAGTCTAGAAGTCAAATAAACTGAGTAAAAATGCAAAATTCGGTCACGCGAACACAGCTGATTATCCTAGACTCTCTGGGTCTAAACAGGAGAGGTGGCAACGGTCCCCACCACCTGCCCCGGCGGGTTTGGGCTTGCGTTGTGCCTGATTAGTGGGAATCAGAATATCAGAATCATACTGGAGGAATCCAATGAGTTATAAAGATCGTTTTCGCAGATGTCCAGTTGGGGCAGGTAAGAATGTTACACACAAACAATACAAAAACAGATAGGAGTGCAAAGTACAAAAAGCCACAGTGGCCAAACAAAGTGTCCGGGAGACTCACGCCCGCGGTCGTGCGGTATTCCTTCCATGCAAGGCGGCTCTTTCGTTGGGCTCATCAGCCCTGACACCCAGTCTACGTGGAGTCTGCTCAGCCCTCCCGTGGTGAACACAAGCGGCTCCCAGTGCCTGAGCTTCTGGTTCCGAATCAGCGGGGCCCTCGGCTCCCTGGGCTTGTACGCGACGGACGGCAGCTCCTCGCAGCGCTCTCGGCTATGGGAGGCCTTCCCCTTGCCTGGCATTCGCGAGCACTGGGGCACCGGGCTCGTCAATATCAGCGACATGCACTACCAGGTACGCACTTCCAGGTACACACTGCCTGGTACGGGCGTGGGGGGTTGTTCACAATACTGCTGCTGTGTGTGTATGGCTTTGTATGTGCTCATCACGAAACGCTAGGCTGAGAGCATCTGTGTGGAGTTTGTTACCTCTCCGCTGTCCTGCGTGGCTTTGCCCCCGGCACTTTCTCATTTCCTACTCCCATAGCCAAATTAACAATCACTCACAGTGCATGCAACTGGTGCTGGCCTCAACATCCCAATGAAAAATTACCTGTTAATTACTCAATTGGGATCACACACAGCGGCAACATCATTGCCCCCCTACTGTGAGAACACGGCATAACCCTCCTGGATAAAGAAAAAAGAGTTATGAGACTCAGCGAGGCGTTGCTGGGTAAATAAGCGGAGTAATACACTATGTACATGCAAGATGGTGGTCACGTGTACGTGCGTATGTTGAACTTCTTTCACACCATACGTAGCCAACCGTGTCGATAATAGAGGTTTTTGGGTTAGATCGCGTAAATATAAATGTGTCGTTAAACCCGCCACCACCCGACACAGCCAGTTAGTAAGGATTGTCACGTAAACCAAACGTGCCAGTTCGTAACTAGTTCAGCACACCGGTGTGTTGGAGAGGAAACGCACAACATTTACAATTCGAGTCCGACGTTTCTCCAGTAAATACAACTAGTATCATCAGGCTACAGCCAGATTTGACGACACATTTATATTTACGTGATCTAACCCAAAAACCTCCATTACAACCAACCGTGTTATGTGACTCATTGACCCGCCCCCGATATTGGACATCTGTTAACAAGGAAAAAGAGATAATTGTTTTTTTACCCTTTTATCTGGCAACAAAACTGACACCTTTTTTACAAGGAGTCATGTTTGCATTGACCACAATACCTGCGGTCGGAATGCAAACAAAAAACACAACTCTGATAATGTATGCACTGTCCTTAAAATTGATTGGTCCACACCCGAGACAGCTTTTCTTAGAGCCTAGTCTCACATGGTGTTGGACCAGATGACGCCAAAAGGCGCACAACTCAAAGACAATGCACCATCAGAGTATGAGAGCTCGGGGTAAGGATCTGATGGTGCATTGTCCTTGAGTTGTGCACCTTTTGGCGTCATCTGGTCCAACACCATGTGAGACTAGGCTCTAAGAAAAGCTGTCTCGGGTGTGGACCAATCAATATCAAGGACAGTGCATATCATTATCAGAGTTGTGTTTTTTGTTTGCATTCCAACCGCAGGTATTGTGGTCAATGCAAACATGACTCCTTGTAAAAAAAGGTGTCAGTTTTGTTGCCAGATAAAAGGGTAAAAAAACAATTATCATATTTTGCTACTGGCAAAGGAGGTTCCAATGGTGGAAGAAAATAGAGCTTCATAGCTCATCGGATTCCTTCCCCAGGGATAAATAAACATTCCGATTGTAACACACGCAACGCGATGACGCCGATTACGATGACGAGGATGATCACGCGGCGACGGCGGCGGCAAAGACGATTGGCACCTGACCTCTGTTCGCAGTTGGAGTTTGTGGCCGACTCGCACGTCCAACCGCTCTACGCCGCGGAGCTGGATAACGTTCGTCTGACCGATGGAGCATGCCCCCCAGGTGTGCGCTGAGAAATACCCTCACCCCCCTCCCCGATTTTCCTTTTTCATCATCATCATGAGCCATGAGCAGATAGCCCCGTAGGTGTCCACTGCACATGTCCACTGCACTTGCCTTTGTAATCCATACGCTAGGGGCGCAATTACCCCCCTCACCCTGCTACAATGAGAGAGATGTTTATCACTTGGTCTCTAAGATGTGGGGATGCAGTTCTTCTATGCATTCCCAGGTCGAGGCTTCGGTCTATGGGTGACCAAGATTTTTCCCCGTGTAGGCCCCAGGCTATGGAACGCTCTTCCACAAAATATCAGGGATCACCGAGTCTGTGGGCATTTTTAAAATGCGCCTCAAATCCTATTTATACGCTTATTAAACTTTGAGGTAATTCAGTAACTGGATTCTTAAAATGTATTTATAATATAATTATTTTTATGCTTAGAGTCTGCTGCTGCTGTGTCCTGTACAGCACTTTGATATCCTTGATGAAAAGCGTGAAATGTTAATGGGATTACTTTTATTGACATGAAAAGCAAATTATTATTATTTTTGCTCAAAAGTTAAACATTTCAGCCAAATGAAGTGAAAACCCAAAACTGGAACAACGCAGTCTCCCCCCCACCTCTCCCTCGGCGGTGCCAGGCGCGGTGTCTCTTCCCCCTCGAGCCACCTCACCTCTATAACAGAGCCATGTGCAGTCTCATTTGGTCGCTGGCGATGGTTTTCATTGCCCCAGAGCTACTCGAGTTGTTGCTCGCCAATGTCTGTCTTACGGTGGTGTTCCTTTTATCAAATGTTTTTGCTTTATTCAGTTTTATTCGTTAAGGGTTTGCGAAGGGTTGGCTTATTTTACGTGCTATGTATGTATGTTGAACTTATTTTGCACCGTACATAGCCAACCATGCTAATTGGAGGTGCGGGGGGGGGAAAGGACAACAAAACTGAACACAAAAGCAGCTCTAAAGGAGTGAGTTTTCATTCTAGATGATTTGAAAGTGCATAGCTCAACTAACTTCCTAATATCAGAAGGAAGAGCGTTCCAGACAGCCACAGAAGCGCATCTGAAAGTACCGCGCAATGGCGGTGACCGTCTTTTGTTTGATGGCTCGCCAAAAGCGACCGCAGTGTGAGTGGTGCGCTGTATAAATCACATATCAGTGAGTTAGACCTTGAACTCCTTTCTTTAAATGTCTACATATTCCATTTTGCACCCTACACATAGTCCAGACCCTCTGCATGGCCATTTTCACTCCTCGTGTCTCCACGGCAAAAGTAAAATCTGTAAAATGTCCAATCACAGTAATCGTCACTAGTGTGATCAGTGTTCGTGTGCGCGCGCAATTTAGATTGTTCATCTCTTTGACTGACCGTCAGCTCCCGGCCCGTGCTACCGTCAGCTGAGCGACCCTGCGGGAAGCCTCGAATTGCCGCGGGTTTTGGAAAGCGACAACGACGCCTGCGTGTGGTTCATCAGCGCCGCCCCCCAAAAGAGGATTCGCCTCTCCCTGACCTTGAGCAGGTTCGCCTCTCTCGCATCGACAAAACGCGCGGAGCACGGTACACCCAGCCCCCCTGGACAGAGCGTGATCATTGCCAGGTGTTTCGGAATCATCCGGCAATGGGTGCTGCTGCTACTGCGTTGGCAACCAACAACAACGTTTGTCAATGACAGTGGGGCGCGTGCGAGCCAGGGGTGTGGCTTCTCCTCAACGTTCACGGGAAGGGTGCGTCAAGGAGGGATTAGCATGATTGGCTACGTACGGTGCTAAAGAAGTTCAGCATACGTACAGTACGTACAAAGAAGGGAGTTTTGTGGCTGCTACGTGCAAAGCGTAGTCAACCGGCGCCGACGATCGGCCACGTGGCGTCGCAGGGTGTGACGGAGCTTCGTGAGATGACGCCGCGTCCCCCCAACCCCTTCACCTCTGCAGCACGACGGAGCGCAACGGCAGCGGCGGTGTCGCGGATTCATGCCAGGAGGAGGGCGCCGCCGTCGCTGTCGCCGTGCTGCACTCCCGAGCGCTCACCGATCTGCCCAGCAAGGTGACGCCGGTGCGCGTGTTGTGCCGCCCGGGGTCTCTGGCCCTCACGGCACTGGACGGAACCGTCGTCGGGATCAGCCTCCCCGCGTTCCGGAGCCACAATTACACGCTGAACGCGACGTTCACGGGTGAGGGCTATAACTCTGAACAATCGCTGCAGTTGCTGCTGATGCAGATTATTTAGATCATTTTGCTACGAAAAATTTTACAAGCCACTTCGTGAATCTATCATTTGTGGCGAGATGTTAACTGTTTTGCCGAGTATGCAGGGAGACGTGGGTTTGATCCCGACCCTGATGTCTGTATATTTTGAGTTTGCGTGTTCTACCCGTGGTTGTGTGGATTTTTCTCCGGGTCCTCCAGTTTTTCCCTCCACATTTAGAATCGATGTCAAGCGTTTAGAGTATTTGGCTGCTATAAATATCCACATGATGATGAGCCACTTCGTTGAGCTATCATTTGTGGCCAGGTCGCTTTTGAAGAAAAGCTATATACCTGGTAAAATAAAATAAAAATGGTTTAGTGAGGCCAGAGCTCGGTGCAGCACCTAGCTCCTGCCTCACTGCACTCCGTAGAGTTCACCGTAGAGCAGTCGGGGTGATTGATGATCCAGCAGCCACAGATTCACTCCAGCTGCTCGCTCACCGCTGGCTGGTCAGTAGCCTGCTTGTCACTTTTTTATCGCTACCACCATGGTTACCGTTACCCTGAACTTCACCCGTCGATTCATTCACCCATAGTGTTTCGTCTCATCCACTGTAGCCCGAGTTCATCATCCTCGACGCAGGTCGCAACAACACCCCCACTCACCCACTCACTCACCCACTCACTCACTCACTCACCCACTCACTCACCACACTGCAGGTCACAACAACACCCCCACTCAACCACTCACTCACCCACTCACTCACTCACTCACCCACTCACTCACCACACTGCAGGTCGCAACAACACCCCCACTCACCCACTCACTCACCCACTCACTCACTCACCCACTCACTCACCACACTGCAGGTCACAACAACACCCCCACTCAACCACTCACTCACTCACCACACTGCAGATCACAACAACTCACCCACTCAACCGCTCACCTGCTCACTCACCCACTGACCACACCACAGGTCACAACAACACCTTCACTCCCTCACCACACTGCAGGTATTTTTTTATGTGCATGCAGTCACGGATGTTTAATTGGCCTCCTCGTTGAGACCGTCGTCTCGCGAATTAGACACAGCCAAAGTCACTTCTCTGTCGCAGCTCCAGTGTCCTGGTACTTATTCCCTTGATAGACTCACAGAGACCCATAGACTCACACAGAGACCCATAGACTCACACAGAGACCCATAGACTCCCACAGAGACCCATAGACTCTCACAGAGACCCATAAACTCACATAGAGTTCCCTGTCACAGCTCCAGTCGTGTGCAACACACTCCCCCCTCCTTCTCTCTCATTGCGCTGCACATTGGTTGCAGGGTCGTCGTTTCTGTCAGGATCTGAAGACTCTCCCCACCCCCGCCCTCTTCAATTGATTTACCTGCACCTCTGAATGCGCCTCTTTTTAAGTTCAACGTGTGCACCACTAGACAACATTTTTACTTACGAATGACGTCACAGAAATCCCCTGCGCGGAGGAGCTGATGGGGCCCAGCGGTGTGGTCCAGTCGTTCAACTTCCCGAGTAACTACGAGAATGACGAGAGCTGCACATGGCTGATACGCGCAGTGGACGACCACAACATCCAGCTCTCCTTCACCAACTTCAGGTACCAAGGCCGGGCTTGCCAGTGAGACCCCCGAAGGTTAAACAATCGCTGCAGAGTTTGCTTGCTTTAACATACGTTGCTGTGAGACACCGGTCCGGCAAACGATTCAGCCGATGGCCTAAAACTGAGTTTAGTTTTGTTCCATGGAGAGAGATGAAAGGTCTGTCTCTGAATCTACCATTATTACAGTTACGTACCTGGCAAGAATGTCGTGCTAATTGGAGAAGGGTCTGCGCACCGCGGAAACGTCTCCCCCCCAAGCCCCCCCCATTGCTGCGATGCTGCATTGACGTGCCATGAGGAGGCGAGCCCGAAGCTGCGCATATCTCCCACAGCCTCGAGACGAACTACGACTTCGTGATGGTGTACGATGGCGACTCGGATGGGTCACCTCTCCTGGGCACGTTCACTGGCCTCTCCACGCCCGGCGACGTCTACTCGACGGGGAGCACCCTTCTCGTCGCCTTCACCAGCAACGCCTACGAGACGTTCTCAGGCTTCTCCGCGCGCTACGAGAGTGAGAGCCGCTCCTCCACCGGGCCACTCCTAAGCAATGCCGCTCCGCTTATACAGTGCCGTGGCCATCTCCTCGTTGGCCTGGTGGTGTTAGGCCGCTACCGCCGCCACGTAACGATTGGCAGACTTACCACCACCGCCGCCACTGCCACCCAGCACCATGGACAAGCAAACGCTCTGACACATAGTAGTAGTAGGGCTTTCGCGACCAATCTTATCCATAAGAGATTTTTTGGGGATTAGATCTCGAAAATATAAATGTCTCGTTAAACCCACCACCAACTCGATACAGGCCAATGAGTAAGGTTTAACGCATAAGCAAAACGTGCCAATTGGTTACTAGTACAGCACACCGGTTGTGTGTTGGAGAGTAAACCCACAAAATGTACAATTCAAGTACTATGACGTTTCACCGGTAATTACAACAACCAGCCTCATCAGGCGACAGCCAGAATTGTGGAGAAATCCTCCTGCTTCGGTCTTAAATAGAGGAGGTGAATGTGATGTCGTCACTTGTGAAGTACAGAGGGGCGGAGTTAATGTAGTCCTAGAAATTACAATGAATATCGGTTATTGGTTGGTGTTATTCACAGTTAATCAACATACATAATTTATGTACATTATGCATGTACATTATGTGCCAACATTATGCCCGATCGCAGTCGTTTCAGCTCGCTCCCCGGTTTAAGGCGGCAGAAAATGTATCGTTGCCGCTCAATTCTGTTTTTGGATAAATTATGTTTTGGTTTAAACTGCGCCTACGCATCCTCAGATGGTCAGGATGAAGTCCAGCAAGTTCAAGATGAGTGATTGTGTACAGGCAATCCCCGGTTTACGCACTTTTGTGGTACGCCATTTTGGAATAGCGCGTGCTTTCTATTTAGACCTTTTATTGACATACGTGAGGCAATTTTCGTAATAACGTCATCCGCAACGCAAGATACACGCCACCCCCAGCCTGGCACCGCCACCCAATGGCGTTGCCAGCAGCCAGTGCGGTACGATAATTAGTGTGAAAGGATAATTAAGACCACAGGTGAACGGATGTCTAACATCCGGTGAAGAAGGGGCACCGGTGATGAACGGATAATACATGAGAGGTAACTGTAGCAAGAGAGCACAGGTGGTGAAGAATTAAGGACGAGTATTGTATTGTGTACATGTATTGTATTGATATAGAATTGGATAATATAGGCTATTATGTCTGCGAGTGTGAGTGAAATCCCCTAACCCTCTCCTTTACTATTATTTCTTATGAGAAAATAGCTTTTGAGATACGCGCGTTTTTCCAGGAACGCGTCTATCGCGTATGTCAAGGAGTGCCTGTAATTGGATTTAATAAGGTGGGGAGTGGTAGTGAAGCGATTAGCACGTTGCGCTATGAACTCGGTAACCCGAGTTCAATTGCCCACTCACGGCCAACACCAGTGACGATTATCTAAACCAGTGCTGGGCGTTCCCTAGGTCGACTCAGCCTCAAATGAGTACTTAGTGCAGTGTGTAAACATCACCACTAGGGAGACAAAGGCGGCCAGGCGTGGTATTGGCCACCCATCCCCTCGTGTGCCGTACCGGCCTTCATAGTTGCTCGCTAACAGCATTTGTCCCAACAGTTTGTTAAGGCTATACGGGGGATCTTTGTCTTTGTAATTGGATTTAAGGAGGTCGGAATGTGCTTGCGTGATTGGACTGAAGAAGGTTTCACGTTTCCTTGATGTTTTCCGAAAGGATTCGGAAGCGCTTCTCTCTCTCTCTCTGCGTGCAGCGTTTCGCAGATGTTCCCTGAGTCTGTACGGAGACTCGGGCAGCGTGAGCAGCTCCTCCTCTGCCCAGCTGAGCTCCTTCACGACGGGCTTCTGCACCATCACCATCGACGTTCCGTACGGCTTCCTCGTCAAGTTGCACTTCCGCTTTTTCAAGTAAGTTCCCATTTACAGAAGAAAATCTATATATTCATACGTGTTGTTTTTTTATAAATTTTATTTCCACCTGAAGACGACCGCTTGTGTTGTGATCGATACATCGTGGTTTTTTAAATTTTGATTAAAAAATTACCTATTTACGTGACTTTACCGAAAGACCCAAAGAATATATGTTACATATGTAATGGGTTAAACTGAGTCGCAGACGCAGACTTGGAGGCAACACATTTATTCAGTTCCAACACACGGGGTAACTTCCCCCTTAACAGAATAACAACCGATGGTGGTGACCACCAGGCTAACTACACTAATCACAATGTAACTGCTACTACGGACCGGGACCAACAGCTTCGGCCCGGGTCCACGTGTTGGAGACTCATTGAACGGAGAACGTAGACGAAGGGTTTCTTCCAGGATAAACAACAACCCTGGTCCCTCTCGGGACCCGGCTTATACTCTCTGTGGCATGGCCGGCTCCGCCCTTGGCCACGTCCACATTACAGAATCCTTGGGAAGGATCTGGATCCCAATCACGTGACCAGCCCCCTCCTGGGGCCCCTTAGTAGACTTCACTGGTCACGTGTCCTCCCGGGTCAACCAGAGTGCCATGGCCTCGATTAACCTCATCCTTCGGCTGGCACCCACACACCCTGTCCTGTTGGATTGGCACTGCACGTAAAGCGCGGTGCCATCCAGCGCTATCACTCAGCGCTCACCGGGCCCCTCTAGGGCCAGTATTAAACCCACACCCCTCTGGTATCCACGATGTCACTACACTGCACGCCGTGCCTATGCATCATAAACAATTGTATTTATGTTACAGAAAAATATATAGCGGCCGGTGGCTAAACCTGTGTACATGTGTGACGTGTGTGTGGTGTATGTGTGTGTGGCGTGGATGTGCATGGCGTGCGTGTGGCGTGCGTGCATCACGTTGTCTGGCGGCGTGCGCAGCCTCTCCGAGGACGAGCTGTGCGAGGCGTCCTCGCTATCCCTTTACAGCGGCGGCGCCGCCACGCAGCGCGGGAACGCCCTCGGTGTCTTCTGCGGCCAGAGGCTCCCGCCCGGTGCTCGCTCCCTCTCCAGCAATATGACCGTCGTGTTCAAAGTCAAGGGCACCCTCGCGCCAGGTAGCCTAGTAGGGGTGGGCCGCGTCTTCGCCTTTGCATCGAAGTTAATAACATTGTGGCGTGTGCTGGCGTTGCTCATGGTGTCCCTGCGTTGCCTATGGCGTCTGCCGGCGTTGCCCGCGAAGTGTCCCGGCGTTTCCCGCGGCGTGTCCCGGCGTTCCTCACGGGATATCCCAGCGTTGCCTGTTGCGTGTCTCGGCTTTGCCCCCAGCATGTACTGGCTTTGTCCGTGACGTGTTCCGGCTTTGCTCGCGGTGTGCCAGAGTTGCCCACGGCGTCTGTCGTAGCTCTGTTTCGGAGATAATCGTGGTTATCAGTTCATCGTTAGGGCCTATCACTTTGTTGTCATTATCTGTCTTATAGCTGCACCTCGATGCCACCGTAATTGGTTAAGATCGATGCTGGTCGGTGTGGCACTGCGCAACATCACGGCTGTGTTCCGTGTGGATGAACACGAGTTGACGTTGGCGGTGCGGCTCCAGCCATTCCATCGCGACCCTTAATCCTGCACCGCCCTCTATCCCGCAGGCCAAGGCTTTGGGTTTGATTTTTACAAAGTCTCTCCACTGCAGGCTTCTAAAGGTATGCACACTCATGCAATGTTACTATTCGCTCAAGTTCACTATGAGAATGTGCTTGTTTTTACAGGCAGTTTACTGGAGGGCGTGTAGGCTTATTTGTGAGAAGTGGTTCTCTGATGAAGGGTGAGATAGAAACGTCGTGGCAGTTGTGTCTGGCCACATTTTACCGATGTTGTCTTTCAGCGTGCGGCTGGGCTCCCATGAAGGAACGCGTGAGCAGGAATCGGATAGTGGGAGGCACTGAGGCGAGGCCAGGAGCGTGGCCTTGGCAGGCCATCCTCTACTACAATGGCAAATTCCAGTGCGGGGGGTCCCTTCTCTCCAATCGCTGGGTCGTGAGCGCCGCTCACTGCTTCGGAGCGTAAGCATTCCCCCCCCCCCCCCCCCGCCTGCCTTCCTCCGCTGGATGAGCTCGGCTCTGCACTCTTGACACGCGCGGACGGACTACGTGATTTTTTTAATCGGATGCAAAGGGGTTCAGGGAGCGATTTTCTGTAATTGGAGTGTGTCTGACTACTGCTGCCCCAGTTCGGCTCCGCCAGTGCTGTCGATCCTCTGCCACCCACTCGAGTGCGATCCGGTTGAATGTTTTTACAAATGGTGCTACTGCTGCTGCTGCGTTGGCAGCGGTGCACAGAGCACACACAACAGGAACCGCAATGCATGCGGTTTCTGCTTCTGCCGGCTGTTCTCCCGTGTGTGCCGCCGAGTCCAGACATTCCCCACCACGTCTCTCCTGTCCGTCTCATCCACACGCCTTCAATCGTCCGTGTGGTCTTTCGCCAGAATGTATCCCCTCGTATAGCAACTTTGCCAGCCTCTCATCTTCCATCATTACGACTCACACAGAGACCCAGAGATTCACACGGAGACCCAGAGATTTACATTGTAAATTATCTTTGCCGGTTTGTTGTCTACATCCTTAATACATGCCCTGCTTATTTCATCCTTCTTTTCGTGATGCCATGCATATTGAAGATATAAGAGCGGCATGTTGACAGACAGCTCCACAGGTGTTGCATAAAAAAATCACCGCCAAGTAGGCGTTCGCGTCCGCCACCGGAAATCTTTCAGGGACTGTTGGGAGAAACAGCCGAACACCAAGAGAGGCTTTATCCACAAAGCGCCCACGTGTCCTCTCGTGTCATTACAGTAGTAGCCAAGCGGGAAGCTGGACGGTCTACCTGGGCCTTCATTCCCAGCAGCGATCTCAATTCCTCCACCGTGGTGGCCAGGAACGTGAGCAGGGTCATCGTCCACGAGCGCTACAACACAACCAGCCACGACTACGATATCGCTCTCATGGAGCTGTCTGACAGCGTCTCCTTCACCGATTACGTCCAGCCCGTTTGCCTGCCGGCCCGCTTTCAGAGGTTTCCCTACCCGGGGAAATCGTGCTTCATTTCCGGCTGGGGCACTCTGAGTTACGGTGGTGAGTGCACAAAGGATCAGTGTCTCCACGTTGTGTGATCAGCTAGTGGAGGAACTAAGCTATACAGTACTAAACTATTTTTTATTTTACCAGGTATGCTCAGTGGGCTACGTAACTCTTTTTTCAGAAGGGACCACAAATGATAGCTCAACAAAGTGGCTTATCATCACATGGAAATGTAAGGCAGCTGCATATTCTGAACGCATGTTTCTAAATGTGGAGGCAAAAAACCGGAGGAGTCAGAGAAAAATCAACGTGACTATGGGGAGAGAGAGACACGCAAACTCCAAATATACATGCATCAGGGTCAGGATCAAACCCATGATCTCCTGTATACCAAGCGAGGTATTTAACATCTCGCCACCGTGGCGCCCTTGAGGCAGCACGCTTCTAGGTTCAGCCACATAATGGTAATATACTAATATTATTATTTATATGTGGATTGCGCCAACCACCTGACCGATCCACACGCGATAACCGTTAAATGGTGGCTCTTGCCTAAACATAACCTCGTAACCGGATGGCTCCCACGCTGCCTGTAAGTGTGCTTTCTACCCAGTCTCTGCTCATGGACGGCACTGCACGAATGCAATGTGAAGAACGGTGGATACGGCCCGATCCTTGGCGTACGTCCTTGTCCCCCCCGCTCCGCAGGTGACCTGCCCAACGTACTCCAGGAAGCCGCGGTGGCGATAATGAGCCACTGTGTCCTGCCGGGCGCCGGGGCGTATTCGGCGGACCAGATCACCAATCGCATGCTGTGCGCCGGATATCCCGAGGGTCAAATCGACACCTGCCAAGTGAGATGCCACCCAGGCCCCCACCCCCCACCCCACCCCCATCCCGAGCCGGGTGCCAACCGCACCCCCGATTAGCAAGGTTGGCTACGTACGGTGCGAAAGAAGTTCAACATACATACGTACAATCCTCAGGGGTTGGTTTCCTCTCTCCCACGGTCACCAAGTGCACGCCAAAGGGCCCAAAACGACACGTGGCTAGCAACAAACAGCACTGTTACAGTTGTAACTTCCGTTAATTCGTTAATTATGACATTTTTTACGCGCACAAGTTTAACTAAAAGATGACATTGAGAGGTACGGGAGAATTAATCAAAGAAAGAGAGGAGGAAATATTCAGATTCTGATTTGAGGTGAGCGAGGACATGGGGGGGGAGCGAGTTCGAGACAAATGAGAGCCACGCCGGAGAAGCGACGTGGTTCGAGCGGCGACGGGCGGGTTCGACAAGCAGAAGGCCGTTTGAGATTGAGCGGCACTCGTTGCGAGGCGGCAGGAGCCCAGTGCGCACACGTGCTTTGTACCGGAGGGCAGCGGGGCGTCGTACAGGCAGGCCGTGCGATAGAGAAGCGGGAATACGTTTTGTAAGGGGTGCCGAGGAAAGCCATACCTCATTCGGAAATAAATATATGCTCACCAGCTAATGAGTTTCAAATAGCGCGCCCGACTCTCTTTGGGTGACGACCTATCACGGGGGGAAGAGCCGATGACGTAAGGTACCCCCAATCGGATATGAAGGTGCAGAGCCATTCACATCGGATTGGTCGTCCGTGAACACTTAATGGAAATGAGGGGTCGGTTGGGATACACCGTTATAGGAGACATTTATGGGATTGGTGGAGAATCATGGAAAGTTCCAGAAAGGATTGGGCAGATAATAAAAGGCATAGAAAGGGGCTTCTGGGTGGCGCCTGAACGCGCTGTGCCGAAGATGTAATAGAAACCAAGTTCAAGACTCGTCTTCATCACGATCCATGGGCAGATAGCCGTAGGTGTCCAATGCACATTTCGTGATTTGCTTCCACTTTCTCTTGTGCCAATATTCTCAAGTAGTGCCACATATTTCTGGCACCAATCTCTTATGATGTCGTCGTCAAGGCATTCTCTGTTGAAGTCTTCCTCTCTTTCCGGTTCCTTGCATTTTTCCAAACAACAACAACACACTGTTCATTTTCTTGTTTTTGTCCATCCTACTATATATGTGTCCAAATAGTGCCAATTTCCTTCTTATCACTGCCTGCATCATCATCAGATATTCATTCTATGTACAACCTTTTTCTTCTACGTTGGTCACTATTTTGGTCCAGCTTAGTTGCAGCAGTATCCTTCTGTAGCGATCCGTTCAAGACTCATATGGCCAGAGCAAAGTTCTTGGGTCTTTCGGTAAAGTCACGTAGATAGGTTCAAATAAACCTATGAATTCCTGCAGTCACGAAAGTTTAAAGTCAAGATTTGAGCAAAGTTATCATGAACGCCGTCTCGTCCGTGCCGCAGGGAGACTCCGGAGGCCCCATGGTTTGCCAGGACTCCAACGGCCGCTGGTTCCTCTCGGGCATCACCAGCTGGGGCGACGCCTGCGCCAGAGCCAACAAACCCGGCGTCTACGGCCGTGTCACCAAGTTCCTCGAGTGGATCCGCGTAAAATCGCAGTAGCCGCGCGCGCGTGGCCACGCGTCCAGCAGGCGCGCGCATGCGATTGGCGGTCCGTAACAGCGAGGGCCACAACCGTGTGATTAAATTATTTTTCCTCTTGTCGATCGCGATTGCCATGTGCCGAGTGAGACAATAAACTGCTGTTGACGTTCGTACCCACGGCACGCCTCCTTCGCTCGCGCTTTTGATTTTGTGCAATGTGCCCACCTGCGGCGCGGTCTCCTGAACTCTGTTTGCGTTCGACCGGAATTTCTCCCTTGTGATCGGATTTGTCATTAGTTTCAGTGTTTAACGGTTCACATTTTGCGAAAAAATGCCAAAAAAGAATCAAACCACTGCAGACGCACTGTGCTCCGGTGCTTTTGGAGGTGCCGGATGGTGGGTCACATGGATTTGTCAAACTCAATTCAGCTGCTTTTTGTGTTTAGTTTTCTGTCCTTCACCCACACCTCCGATTGGCACGTTTGGCTACGTATGATGCAAAAGAAGTTCCAACAACGTACGTGCATACAGTACATACATGTGCCAGGATATGCCCGTCTAGTGTTTCCCCCTCTTAAAATGGAATTGGCCGAACATATCAATGGCAAGACCCTTCGGAAAAAGTCTTGAGACTCAATAATGCTCCCCTTGGAACGTTCGTTGGCATGACTGTACTCTCTCAGAATATGTATTTGAACGTATTGGCGGTGCACCGGTGGTGCACGGTATTTAGCAACAAAAAAAATCCGCAATAATAAATTTTTCCGCAATTGGCAAACCCCAATCATTAAATCTTGCGGGGTGGTGGTGCTGCGTCAAAATCAGTTATCGTAATGTCGAAGCAGTCGGAAGCTGAACGTCAGTTCAGACAGAGATTTTAGACGGTTTTATGAGGACCGGTGTGTTATGCCGCACCGGCGTACCGCCAATACTGTCCATTTATCCTGGAGGAATCCGATGAGCTATGGAAGAGCTATGGAGCTCTTTTTTTTCACAGGTGTCGAGTAGGCGTGGGTCAGCAATTCACAACAACGACAAACAATACACAAACACGACAGTCTTGAGCAGTTTGCAGGAGGGTTCATCTTGGGTGATTGACATGTTTTAGTCTATATATATATTTGTATGTGGCACGGATATTGAATTTGCGTACAAATCAACTGGGGCGGTGCCGCCGAGGCTCGGGGGTTTGAACCCAGTAGTCAGCCCTGGTTAATACCGTATGTTCGAACACCGAGCGCTCTTAACAGCGCGTTTAAACGTCGCGCACTCTCACGCCGCGTGCTCTAACCACCCAGTGGGCGTTTAAGGCCATCATCGTTTTGCCCAAGTAACGGTTACAAGTTTTGCCAAATTAGAAAATCACTCGTTTAGGATGCCTGCACACAATGATAGAATCATTGCCCATGCCACCCACCCGCTCTGTCAAACGAATGCCCCATTGTCGGCCGAGGTGCTCAGTCAACGTGTGCCACACAGGGACATCTGCCATTGGGGGCGAGGTCCCCCCCCCCTCCTCTTTCAGATGAGATGCCGGTCACACGTGAAGGAGGGGGGGGGCAGCTCCATCAAACACGAGGGTGGGGATCGGTGCACGTCGCGTGCTCCATGCGTGTGCACGATTCTTCCTCGTATTCAAAGCACCTCCTCGGGGCACGGGCAGCTGGCGAGATTGTTGGGGGGGGGGGCTGCTGCTGCAAGGAGGGTGTCGCGTGAAGAGAGGAAGATGCAGGAGAGGATTGAATATAGTTGCCACATTCTAACACCTGCCCACTCGAACGCATGCCAATTGACGGGCTGTCCCGATCAAACCCGGGACAGGTGGTAACCCTGCGACGACGAGAACGGTCAAGTGGAGGTAAAAAAAACCTCTGTTATGGCACCGCTCTCGATTTGTATAATTCGATTCGATTCTAGATTTAGGAAAAAGTACGATTCGCATGCTCCATGTATTCAATAGCGATGGGATAGGTAATCGATTCTAGTTTAATTAATCGCTTTGGAATCGGAAATCACGCGAAGCTCCGGCTTCCTGAATGAATCCTGAGAGTGGCGCTGTCAGGATAAGTGAGTGGTGCACGGGGTGGCTCAGTGTGTGGTGCACGGGGTGGCTCAGTGTGTGGTGCACGGGGTGGCTCAGTGTGTGTTGCTCAGTCTGGTCCATTGAGTGGTGTTCAGGGTGGCTCAGTGAGGCTCAGTGAGTGGTGCACGGGGTGGCTCAGTGTGTGTTGCTCAGTCTGGTCCATTGAGTGGTCCTCAGGGTGGCTCAGTGAGGTTCAGTGTGTGGTGCTCGGGGTGGCTCAGTGTGTATTGCTCAGTCTGGTCCATTGAGTGGTGTTCAGGGTGGCTCAGTGAGGCTCAGTGAGTGGTGCACGGGGTGGCTCAGTGTGTGTTGCTCAGTCTGGTCCATTGAGTGGTGTTCAGGGTGGCTCAGTGAGGCTCAGTGAGTGGTGCACGGGGTGGCTCAGTGTGTGTTGCTCAGTCTGGTCCATTGAGTGGTCCTCAGGGTGGCTCAGTGAGGTTCAGTGTGTGGTGCTCGGGGTGGCTCAGTGTGTATTGCTCAGTCTGGTCCATTGAGTGGTGTTCAGGGTGGCTCAGTGAGGCTCAGTGAGTGGTGCACGGGGTGGCTCAGTGTGTATTGCTCAGTCTGGTCCATTGAGTGGTGTTCAGGGTGGCTCAGTGAGGCTCAGTGAGTGTTGCACGGGGTGGCTCTGAGTGGTGTTCAGGGTGGAGCTCGGTGTGGCTCAGTGATTGGTGGTCGGTGTGGCTCAGTGAGTGGCGCTCATTCACATCTCGATCTCCGACGAGCTCCGTGCCAGTGACGCTGTTTAATTGGCGAGTCGCAGCGCTCGCATCTGGGGCGGAGTGCGGTCTCGGTGGGCTGGGGGGCGATAGCGAGGGGGGGCGATAGCGGGGGGGGGGCGTAGAGTGAGATGGGGGGCGGAGAGGGGGGGGGGGGCGTAGAGCTAGAGGGGGGGACGTAGAGCGAGAGGGGAGGGGGCGTAGAGCTAGAGGGGGGGGGCGTAGAGCTAGAGGGGGGGGGGCGTAGAGCTAGAGGGGGGGGCGTAGAGCTAGAGGGGAGGGGCGTAGAGCGAGAGGGGGGGGGCGTAGAGCGAGAGGGGGGGGGGTGTAGAGCGAGAGGGGAGGGGGGCGTAGAGCGAGAGGGGGGGGGGGCGTAGAGCGAGAGGGGAGGGGGGCGTAGAGCGAGAGGGGAGGGGCGTAGAGCGAGAGGGGGGGGGCGTAGAGCGAGAGGGGGGGGGGCGTAGAGCGAGAGGGGGGGGGGCGTAGAGCGAGAGGGGGGGGGGGCGTAGAACGAGAGGGGAGGGGGGCGTAGAGCGAGAGGGGAGGGGCGTAGAGCGAGAGGGGGGGGGGGCGTAGAGCGAGAGGGGGGGGGGCGTAGAGCGAGAGGGGAGGGGGCGTAGAGCGAGAGGGGAGGGGGGCGTAGAGCGAGAGGGGAGGGGGCGTAGAGCGAGAGGGGGGGGGCGTAGAGCGAGAGGGGGGGGCGTAGAGCGAGAGGGGGGGGCGTAGAGCGAGAGGGGAGGGGCGTAGAGCGAGAGGGGGGGCGTAGAGCGAGAGGGGGGGGCGTAGAGCGAGAGGGGGGGGCGTAGAGCGAGAGGGGAGGGGCGTAGAGCGAGAGGGGGGGGCGTAGAGCGAGAGGGGAGGGGGGCGTAGAGCGAGAGGGGAGGGCGTAGAGCGAGAGGGGAGGGGGGCGTAGAGCGAGAGGGGAGGGGGGCGTAGAGCGAGAGGGGGGGGCGTAGAGCGAGAGGGGGGGGGCGTAGAGCGAGAGGGGGCGGGTACCAAGGGCATCTCCGAGCGGAGAGGTCAGGAGGGAGCTAAGAAGAGAGGAAGGAGGCAGCGGCAGCAGCTGGGATCGCTCTACCCCTGCGTGAGTGCACCGAGCCGGGGGGGGGGGGGGTGCAGGCAGCAAGCGGGGGGCGTGCGGGTGGTGGCCAGGGTTGTTGATGGCTCTGCACAGGTCGACGTTGTCACCGCCGGCGCACCTGGGTCCGTCCCGTGACCTCCTTGCCGTCGGCGAGCCTTTGACAACTTCGCGTGGCCTCAAGGTGCACCTAGCCTGGCACAATCGCCGCGGTGGTGACGTCCCCGCCCGCTTAGTGTCGAACGGCGGCGGCGGCTGTTGTTGTTGTTGTTTGTAACCCAGCTGAGAACAGAGTTGGGCGTTTTTTGGGGGAGGAGGAGCAGGCGTGATGTGTTGGGTGTGTGGCGTTTCGTGCAATGCGCCATGAATCCGGCTCCCTTGGTTCGATTCGCGCTCACGGCCAACACCGGTGACTTTTAGCCGGATCGGTCCTGGGCCTTCTCTAGGTCGACTCAGCCTCAATCGAGTACCTGGTGCGGTGTGTAACATCGCCGCTAGGGAGACAAAGGCGGCCGGTCGTGGTGCTGTCCACCCACCTCCTCGTGTACCATTCCGGCCTTCATAGGTGCTCGCTAACAGCACTTGCAGCTATAGCTCTACGTGTCTCTGTCTCCTGCTGTGGTTCTGCATAGCCCTGCGTGTCTCTGTCTCCGTGTCTCCTGCTGTGGTTCTGCATAGCCCTGCGTGTCTCTGTGTCTCCTGCTGTGATTCTGCATAGCCCTGCGTGTCTCTGTGTCTCCTGCTGTGGTTCTGCATAGCCCTGCGTGTCTCTGTCTCCGTGTCTCCTGCTGTGGTTCTGCAGAGCCCTGCGTGTCTCTGTGTCTCCTGCTGTGATTCTGCATAGCCCTGCGTGTATCTGTGTCTCCTGCTGTGGTTCTGCATAGCCCTGCGTGTCTCTGTCTCTCCTGCTGTGGTTCTGCATAGCCCTGCGTGTCTCTGTCTCTCCTGCTGTGGTTCTGCATAGCCCTGCGTGTCTCTGTCTCCGTGTCTCCTGCTGTGGTTCTGCAGAGCCCTGCGTGTCTCTGTGTCTCCTGCTGTGATTCTGCATAGCCCTGCGTGTCTCTGTGTCTCCTGCTGTGGTTCTGCATAGCCCTGCGTGTCTCTGTCTCTCCTGCTGTGGTTCTGCATAGCCCTGCGTGTCTCTGTCTCTCCTGCTGTGGTTCTGCATAGCCCTGCGTGTCTCTGTCTCTCCTGCTGTGGTTCTGCAGAGCCCTGCGTGTCTGTGTCTCCTGCTGTGGTTCTGCATAGCCCTGCGTGTCTCTGTTTCTGTGTCTCCTGCTGTGGTTCTGCATA